ACGCAGAGAGAGAGATGCATGCACGGAGAGAGAGAGAGAGAGAGAGAGAGAGAGAGAGAGAGAGAGAGAGAGAGAGAGAGAGAGAGAGGGCTGTTGAGGTTGGGTCGAAGAGAAAGCAGGCGGTGGGCGCACTGACTCACTTTGGAAGTCCTCTTCTAGCATCTTGGCCGTCCCTGACTGACTGAGAGTGATCGAAGTGACGGATCACGTTGCTCGGATCGTGATGGTTGACAAAGAAATTTGTGGACCGCTCTCCTCACAACAACACGTACTCGCTAGCAGTCTTGCTTGGCTGGATGACGCTCAGCGTGCGTGATCATTCGCAGATCATTCGCGGAAAACTCGCTGATTATTCACCGTCTCTTTCTCTTCCAGCAGTTTCCCATCTGCAACGTTGAGCAGGAATCATTCAGAGTCTCCTCCTCTTCCAAGATACAGCCAACTTTGAGTGCAGTCCAGATACAGCCATATTAACCATGCGTTCTATTCGGGTAAAAACGGTAGCCCTTGATGCAAGCCCCCCAGACATTGACGGCACCATGAATGACCGGGCGTTCTATTCGGGGGACGATGGGGGTTCTATTTCTGGAGAGCCTGCTCCTCCTCCTTAACGTTGAAGCTACAAATGACAGGGCGCTCTATTCGGGGTAGGATGGGAGTTGTATCTCCCTGGAGCTTGCAGCAATGGGTAGGACTCGCGAAAGAAAAAAGAGTATAGTGTTCTCGAGGACTGTTGAATAGAGGGAAAAAGCTTAACGACGAGGTATGGATCGGAACGGGGAGAGAAAACTGGAGGGAAAAAGCTTAACGGCAAACGTAACGGAAAGAAACGGACTGCAGAGGAGAAGGTAAGAATGGGCGAGAAGGGTTGGACTGAACTTCACGTTAACGGCGAGTAACGGAACGTACAAGTGTCATTTCTGGTTCCCGTTTGCGGTTAACGGCCGCGTTAACGGCTCAGCCTGGTGCTCCTTGATGTCCTCGGTTTTTTCCCTGAGAGATAACCTGTTTACACACACGTGCTGCGCGCCTTGAGACTCCGAGCGCCCATAACTGACCGTTAACCACAATTACCCCGCCGTTAACTGCCCGTTAACCACAGTTGCCCTGCAGTTAACTACCCGTTAACCACAGTTGCCCCGCAATTAACTGACCGTTAACCACAGTTGCCCCGCAGTTAACGAACGCGTTAATCACAGTTGCCCCCCTGTTAACTGACGGTTAACCACAGTTGCCCCGCAGTTAACTGACCATTAACCACAGTGTCCCCCCCACGTGGCTGTAGGACGACTATGCGAAGCGAATTCGTCGGCCACGTCAGCGCTTGTGATCGATCGTTGCCCTGTGATTGGCCGCGCAAGCTCCACGTGTTAGCTGCAAGGTAACCACCCAGATCAATCGCTTGCTGGCATGTGGTTGGCAGTGCATGCTCCACGTGTCAGTTGCATGTGAGCCAATCGGCTCGATTGCTTGCTTGGCAATGCTTGCCGGTGTGCTCCCCAGTGCATGCTGCCGGTGGTTGTCCATGCAAGCTCCACTTGTAAGCTGCAGGTGAACCAACTGCATAAATTGCTTGCTGGGCGGTGGTTGGCCGTGCAAGCGCCACGTGGCAGCTGCAGGTGGACCAACTAGATCGCGGTTAATCGACACCCAGATCCAGGCAGGCACTGACGCAGAGTGACCTCACGTAGTTTGAACGGGAGTGGGGACGGCGGGAATGCAGAAGAAGGGGGAAAGGGGAGAAAAAAGGGTGGTGGGGGTGTAGGGGCTTAGTGAACCGTGGCCGCTGGGGGGGGAGGATGGGGAGGGAAGGGTAGGGGAGGGGAGGGTAGGGGAGGAGGAAGAGCTACAGCGCTGGAGAAGGGGGGGCTGTTGGTAGATCGTCAGGCTGTAAGCTTCAATCATTCAACAATAACATGGCGGTGCTGAGAGGAGGCTTCTCTTTTTGTACTTTGTTTTTTTTCGGCTTGAAAGCTGAGAAGAGGTTTAAAAAAAAAAAAAAAAAAAAAAAAAAAAAAAAAAAAAAAAAAAAAAAAAAAAAAAAAAAAAAAAAAAAAAAAAAAAAAAAAAAAAAAAAAAAAAAAAAAAAAAAAAAAAAAAAAAGGGAGGTTAATGATCTCAACGCTCTCCCGAAAAGAAAAAAGAAAACAAAACAAGGGATGTTATGATGCAAAAAAAGAAAAGAAGGGAGAAAAAAACGCTTCTCCGCATGTGCAGCAGTTGATGAGAGACTGCCCGCCATGCAGACGTCAAGAAACTTGAGTGTTCACTTTTGTGATGCTGCAGTTCCGATTCAAAGATGGAAAAAAAAAACAAAAAAGGAAAAGGAAAGAGTTCTCACGTTTGTGATACTCCAATTTCCGTTTTCGAGGAAAATAAAAGAAAAGTCCAGCAGAGCCTCCAATATGATCGTCGCGAACGTGAAGATGCACGTGCCTGCATGCCTGAACCTGAAGTTGCACGTGCATGCACGTGGGGTATGGATCGTCGTCGTTTACGTCTCTCTGCTTATCTTGCCTTACGTAGGGTCAACTGTCTGCATGGTGATTGAGAGGCAAGTGCCCACATATTCATTTGCATCTAGCATATTTGCAATCTCCTACGTGACCAAACTCCAGCATTAAATAATCCTCGTGAACGTGAAGCTGCACGTGCGTGCACGTGGGGAGTGGATAGGTCTCTCTGCTTATCTTGTCCATTGTCTGCATGGTAGTTGAGAGGCAAGTGCCCGCATATTCATTTGCCTGCAGCACATTTGCAATCTCCTACGTGACCAAACTCCGGCATTAAACGATCATCGTGAACGTCAAGCTGCACGTGCATGCATATGTGCATGCATATGCGCATGCACGTGGGGAATGGATCGTCGTCGTTTAGGTCCCTCCGCTTATCTTAGAGTCAATTGTCTGCACGGTGGTTGAGAGGCAATTCATGTGCATGCAGCACATTTGCAATATCCTACGTGACCAAACTCCGGGATGAAATGTAAACGGGAACAGAAATTTAGAAAGATAGAAGTCCATCGTTGCATGTGTCTCTGTGACTGTGTGTGTTCCTCCGTGCCTGGGGGAAATGCCTCGATCGCTCGCCCTCTGTCGTGTTCAGATCATTGACTCAGGGTTCGAACACGTCATCTGTTTCTCAAAAGAGCTAAAAGGTCTATGTACCCTTCAGCCACAAGGTCTGAGCTACATAGAGTAGGTCTATGTACCAGCCAGCCACAAGTCAGCCACACGGTCTAAACTAAATAGAGTAGGTCTATGTACCAGTCAGCCACAAGGTCTGAGCTAAATAGACTATTGTTCCTTCAACCACAACGAGTAAGTACCATTCACCTTCAGGTATGTATCATTTAGCCACAAAGCAGGCACAGCCTCAGAGTCTCTGGTTGCTTGCCACGCGATTGCCGTTGCCGTTTGTCGTAGTCATCCCATTGCATTGGGCTTTGAACACATGATCTGTTTGTCAAGAGGATCTGCTACAACTGTTATGTACCGCCAAAAGCCTACAACTGTTATGTACTCATTCAGCCATAAACCAGCTTCAGTCCTCTCTTCCTGCTCGCCACTTACTCCCACCGTGCGTCCTTCCCCGTATCGGAAGCTATCCAAAAGTTATCCAAAGGTTAACGAAAAGTTATCCAACAGTTATCCAACAGTTATCCAAAGGTTAACGAAAAGTTATCCAAAAGTTATCCAAAAGTTATCCGAAGTGCGCCCCTATTGTTGCTTGCCGTTCAGTTCTCCCACTGCATGACATTGTCCCTCTGGCGCATCCAAAGGTTATCCAAAAATTATCCAAAGTTATCCAAAAGTTATCCACGTTACCCGAAAGTTAATCCGAGAGTTATCCAAACTTATCCAAGAGTTATCCAGACCTATCCCAAGCACAGCCCTCTCTTGGCGCTTGGTACTTACAGTCTTCCCTCGAATATAACGTACGGTCATTATAGCTGAATTTGGGATATCTTTAAGTCTGAATACAGCTATAATGACCGTACGTTGTATCCGGGGGAAGAAGGGTAGTAATCCGCTGCACGTCTTGCTTCGGCAGACCGTCAGAACTGGGTAGACAGTCCGTACCTTGGTCGAGCTAAGCTCAGAGAGTAGAGCAGAGCGGAACGGGACCTGGGCTGTCTGCAGGTATACAGGGGCGCGGGTTCAGCCCCAGGGGCCCAACCTCGACTATAGAACGTATGGTCAGTATAGTTGTATTGGGGGCAACTTTCAGTCTCGAGACATCGATGAGGACCGTAAGGATGTTACGTTCTATTTCGGGGAACACGTGCGAGGAGCCTATTAGATGTGCTGTACGTCGTATGCACTTTTTTTTCCTTTTTTTTTGGGAACTACACTACATTCTTCTCTCAAAAAATTCTTTCATCTTTCACGACCTAACTAACACTACTCCTACGGCTATACAGGGGACCCCTGCAAGCATAGCTGTCTACCTCTCTTGGTGAAGGGAGGTTACCTCTCTCGGTGCAGGGAGGTCACTGCATTTTTGCCCCTTGCCCTAGTGGTTTAGGGTGCAGGGCTGGGGCCTCCGGTTGGGGCCCAGCTAACACAAGGACAGAGCATTTGCCAGTAGCTGTGCCTCTCTTATCATCTCCCCCACCCCCATGGAGTAACAACAGTGTCTAAGGCCAACACATTCCCACACACCACATGCAACCTGCTCACATTCGCACTCTTACCCGTGTTGGCTGAAGGGGGGAGGCACGCCATGGGCAAATCGGATCGGCGGCCTGTTTTCATTTTGGGCCTCCGCACTATCTGCATCTGACATATGGGACGATGCTTGTGATAAGCCAGGATACGTACTCAGCAGCTTCCCGTACCCTTAAGGGAAAATCCCACGTAAGCCCCCGAAGTACGGATTCAAGATAATAGGGAAAAATGGGGCATTATTTCTTTTTCTTTCTTTCTTTTTCCTTTACGAAAAGAGAGACAGAGTAGAAAATGCAATTCGGGCCTCCTGTGGCCGGTTAGCGGCCGCACCAAGAAATTAAAAAAACAGTTGGAAATTAGTGGGAGTCAGAATTTTGAATTTTTTGCGCACGCAGCTGTTTTTGAATTTTTGTGCGCCGCGTAAACCCGCTCGTCCGCTCTGCATCCCTGCGCCATCTTCCCTTCTTGCTGCGCACTCCCTTCCTGCATGCCTCTTCGTCTTTCCTCTAAGCGAAGTCTGATCCCCTCCTCCTTTCCCTGCGAACGATTGGCTGTCTGATTGGGTTTGTTGGGGTAATGTGGTGGTACCACCCAATCACGCAGATCATCCGACTCGCCCCCTTCGATCCTTCTGAAACGTCTGCCCTTCTTCTGTCCTGTCCACCTACACCCCGTGCTTCGTGCAGCCTCTCCGCCGCTTTCCCCGCTATAAATTCTCGCAACCCCTTCCTCTCACTCTCTTTCATCTCGGCTGCAAGTTGCGCAAGCTATGGGCGAAGCCCGCAGCGCCGGAAAGGCTCGACGTGCCCCATGGTGGGCGGAGTGACGGCGGTGGCGGAGTTAGCGGTAGACTTGGGGTAAGGCAGTAGGAGGGACCGAGCGGTGGTGGAGATCAGACGCCGGCAGCGGCAGGGCCTTGTGGCTATGGTTGTCGGTGGTTTTGACGGATTGGGGACTGGGCCCGGAGCGGCCAGTCGTGAGAACTCTGTATTTTAAGACGAGCTTTTTCTCCATTGCTGCTTTGTCCCCGTGGGATGTGTGTATGGCCCCGATGTGTGGGTAATCCGTTATGCATGTTCGGGTATGGAAGTCTATGGATGTTGAATGTCTCTTTGAGGGCTCTATGGGTAGGCGTGTGTGTATGCGACCTCGGGCCTGATGATCGGACGCACTGAGTGTTGATTGCTTGCATGAGCGCATGAATGCGTCGGTCCTTCCCCCTTTTTTTTATTATTTGCCCTTAACCCCTGCCAGTGTGTGGGATACGCGTCAACCTCCTTCTGTCGGCTCTCTCTCTCTCTCTCTCTCTCTCTCTCTCTCTCTCTCTCTCTCTCTCTCTCTCTCTCTCTCTCNTCTCTCTCTCTCTCTCTCTCTCTCTCTCTCTCTCTCTCTCTCTCTCTCTCACACACACACACACACACACACACACACACACACACACACATCGTACGCAGGGCAGGACTCCAAGGGGAGATCGGTCATCCGCGTCCTCGCGAAGCGGCCGACCTCTCTGTGCCCACCCCGTGGTGCCCGACACCGCGTTCAGGTTCATGCTCCAGAGAGAGAGAAGGAGAGAGAGAGCTAGGCGCAATCTTTTTTTGGCGGTATTCATTGGTCTTTGCATGGATTCAGGCTTCGTTTTGACGGACGGAAACGCGGGCCGTGGCCCGAGCTCGGACCTTGTCCCAGAGCGTCGCAGCACGCTTCCGTCCTTCCCGATCGCAAATGACGACGACGTATACTGTGATGCGGACGTGCGGAGCCTACTGCGGCGCACTGAGCCAATCCATTTTTATAACCTTGACCCGACCTAGGCGTGCCACATAGGTGGGAGTGGTTCGTGCTGATTGAGCGATTTTCTTCCCCGCCTTTAATTTTGCCTTACACAGACCTCACGATGTTGCCTTGGTCCGCTGTGCACGCTGCGTGGCAGCCGCAGTTTAAGTGTCATTGGTGCCGTTAGGGGGACTCATGCTCGTGGCGACGGTTGGTCCTAGGGTACGAAGGAGCAGTCCGCTTCCCAGAACTCTCCCGCAATGCAGGTTCCCTCCCCGCCTGTTTTTGAACTTGGGTTCCAACGACCCGCCTGACCCCGGGCAGCCCGATGTTGTGCCGTCCCCATGGACTCGACGAGTCGGACGTCGAAACGTCAACCCGATGTAGGGACCTCCGCCCCCCCAGGGCCGCGCGCACCGGGTGCCTCGAGGAACGGAGCTCCGTTCCAAACGGCTTCGCCTCTCTTCTCCCCTCCCCTCTCATTTTCTTTTCTTCCTTTTTCATGAGGTGATGACGGTCGGGCCATAGGGCACCATTGTTCGCTCCCGGCGACAGCGCAAACCCTTGCCTAGACACCTCGCCTTGAAACAAGAGTCCCCCGTTTCGTCCAGTGGCTCAACCCCCACGGCCAAAAATCCTCGACCACGCCCCCAACTACTTTGATCGACGTCTGAAGTACGGAATGTCGTTTAGGGGCGTGAGGTTAGCGCATCACATGCTAAGATGAAAGAGGCGGGTTTTACATCCATGGTAGAGTATCCCAAACGCACGTGCATAGAAGACTTTTTCAAAACCCTAAAAGAAAGTTTTGAAGACAAGAACCTAACCAAACGCACAAAGCTCTTGATCCTAAATATAGCCGATAGCGGCGATAGGAAGTGGAAGAGAGCTGTCCTCAAAGCCACCGTGGATGAACTACTTCAGTGTCGTGATCATGGACCAACACCTTCGCAAATTCTGAACAACTTCACGAGAGCAATGCCTGATCCCCTCAGGACCACTCTGTACCCCCGTACGAAGGAGGAGGGCATGACTTATGAGAAATTTAGGAAAATCGTTCTAGATTAGGTCGGCTTCCTGATGGAAGAAAACTATTGCCATTACTGGAAAGACCTGCAGAAGGGAGGGAAATGGAAGAATAAGACCATTGCAGGCATCATAGAAGGAAAAGATAGCCTTCTAGTCACATTTGAGGGAGGAGGAGTCGAGACACTGTCCTATGAGAACGTAGACTACAGACTAGAAGAGCCCAACAACAACCAAGTAGCCCAGGGAGGGGACTATGCGCCGTATGCGGCTGTTGCAGCCCACAGGGGAGGGC